TTACCCCGTTCAAAATGTCAATATCATCATTGAGAAACCTTGGTCTATAAGTCTACACTGGAGTCACATATTAGCAAAATGACCCACACCCATTTTCCAATATCCCATCTCCAAATTTTGATGAAAAGACAAACCTAAATACAAAAACATAATTACATTTAGAATGCTTTGATAGTCTTTACTAGGAAACTATTCATATCATATAAACAATCAGGTATGGCATCAGGCATTCCCAGAAAAAAACATTTATTAGCATTAAATCAATTATCTCAATTTTTCTCTTCTGCTAGAAAACAGAGTATGCACTCATGCTTCTTGGCCTCAAGAAGAATCACTGTCTATTAGCTGGCAAATACAAGTGCCCAATATATCTCTTCACCCCTTGTAGATACACAAAGAAATACTACAGCTGTTGTTCTCAGTCATAATTACACAACACAAACCTTCCCCAGTGAAGTGAAACTCCATCTTCCCTAGGTGTGTCTCTCTATACCCATGAGCCTTGGGAAATGTCAGAGGTATATAAGAACCGAGAGTCAGAGAAGGGGGCTTCTTAAACACCCAGCTTGTCTGCAAGTATACAATGAGAAATGTGGACTAGAGGCTAAAAGTGATCATCTCACTTGTCCACACAGCTCTATTTCATTACCAAGGAAATGTGATTTCATTACCAAGATCTTAAGAGGAAAGAAAAGGTTCTTACATTTCAAAATATATATTCCAAGGACTGCATCCTTATTCATCACCTTTGCCAGCACAGATGCTCAAAAAGCATGTGTTTTTCATGAATAAATGGGTTTGTTGAATTATCTGTCCCAGTGCCATTAGCATTTACGGCACATCTGGGTGATCACATGTGAACGTTTTCCAAGTGCATTTAAAGGTGGGCAGGAGATTGCAACTTTGTTCCTCTGTTAGCTGATAAGGCTCACTTTTCTTACAAAAAAAGCACTTGAACAGTCAGATCACATTGCTTCCTGGCCCTTCTTACTCTCAATTCCAATTGTGTATGCTACAAATGATTCATGAGGAAAAACCACATATTTATGCAGGCAGCTGGCAGCTTGCGGGGAAGGGTTTAAGGCAAGCAGGGAATTTTGTGTGGAAATCAATTCTTTGCAGAAGTCAATGTATCATGGACATTCAAGCAAGAGAAATTCCAGAGAGAAATTAACTGCCCAAGTAAGCCAGCTCCTTGAGGTGTACATCTATAGTCACTAGAAAAAAAAAGTGAGTTAACCCTTCAGGCAGCTCTTAAATATGCATTACCTATTGAGTAAGGAAAGCTTGGGAACTGAGGTTGGGCCTTTAAATACAGAATTCCTTACAAAATTGATTCACAAACCAGAACAAATTCTCCTTAAATTAAATGCATGTCTCCAAAGGGCTCTTCTTCAGAGCTTTTCCACGGACTATCCTAAACAGGAGTCTGGTCATAGGAAATGTCCAACACCTGCATAAACATGGGAGACTCTGAGCTCTGGAAGTGAACAGTCCCTAGCTGTCTGAAAGCAAAGACTTCCCAGCCAGAGGGAATGTAAACAGGTTCACATAGGTTATATCTTCTGGAAAGATGCAGCCTCTTGACAGATAATGAGCTCCTATCAAAGGAGTCCGACTCCGGTGCAGGAGTTCCTGGGGGAAGACAGCCTGGGCATGGAGTGCTCTAGGAAGCTACAGGTGATGCTTGAAAGAACCACCATCAACTTGCTTTTGGAAAGCATGGCAAAGGACTATTTAAAAGCGTACCAGGGAATGCCACAAGGCCCCTAAAGACTCAAGTGCATACCACTCATGAGTCCTCACTGGCAAGAAGGTACAAAGCCCAGGTTTTGCTTCTCAGTGAAACTGCCCTGGACTCATCTCAGCTCTGCAGGCTGGGCAGGAAAACAAGCATATCACCTGTGGCTATAAAAACTAAAAAGGAATATCACACTTGAAATTTATCTGCACTATGCCAGGTTGAAGGTAAGCGAACTGCAAAGGTGACTGACTGCAAACCCAGGTGAATTCTTTACATTGTGACTGAGAGTTTGGTCTCGGCTCTGTGACAGGGCAATTTGGGAATAATATAAAACTACAAACCATTGCACAGACTTAAGAATCATTTTTCCTGCCTACCTACCTGCCTGGTCAGAGATTTCAAGGTCAGACTCAGGTATGTGGGGAGAGAGAGTTTAGGCTTTCAGAGTTGGTTACCCAAACATGAAGATTAGACCATCTTCTTCAAGTCTAAATAAATGCATTTGTTTAATTAATATTCTCATACCAGTGTCAATGTCCTGGCCTTAATTCAGCTCCATGACTATGGTTATGGTTATGTTATCATTGGAGGAAGCTAGATGAAGGGCACATAGGAATTGTCTTTTACTGACGCAGCTTCTCGTAAGTCTGAAATTATTTTAAAATTAAAAGTTAAAAATAACAAAGAAAAATCCTAATTAATCACAGTTTTCTCTCAGATCTCTTTGCTTCACATATTGTACACATACACCCAAATACGTGCACACACATACACACACACCTTCTTATTGTGAACGCCTCCTTATTATCCCTTTGGAATACAGGTATATTTCTAAAATATGTTTTTCAAAGTACTTTGTATATCATCCATACAGGACACAATAAACACTAATTTGGCCAAGCCTGTTGGCTTACACCTGTAATCCCAATACTTTGAGAAGCTAAAGTCAGGAGATCACTTTAGACCAAGAGTTTGAAATCAGCTTAGGGAACACAGGTTTTTTTCACATATGCCCAGTTGTCACCTATGTCTTTAAGTAATGGCACATCCCAGACAACAGAATACAAAAAACACTGAATAACAGAAAGCCAATGGCACAACTGAAAAACTGGACTAGGCTTTGCAAGATTTAATGCTGACAGCCCAACAGAATCTAAATGCTTCCACTGACTAAACTTATTTTTCAGCCATCAAAATAACTTTAGAACTTTGGAACTTGTTCTTTACTTTCCTATTTTCTTCCCCCATATCATTTGGTCATAGATTTATGCCTACATTCATTCATTCATTATATTAAATACATTTTTGAGCAACTACCATGTTTTAGACATTGTGCTAGTGTCTAAAATCTAACGAAAAGAGAATTTGAACTTTAAGGTCACCAAGGATGAATATGTCAGGAATATATCTAATGAATCTACTTTACCAGTTTAACCTAAAACTCCATTCTCAAAACATACACATTGTATTTCTTTCTAATTTTGTTCAGTGGACACCAGAGTAAGAAGATAAATGAAGGGAAATGGAAAGCACTGGAGGGAGAGCAAGTAGCTCGTTGTGGACTCAATTTTTCTATTGCTGACTGGGTATTGTTCTACGGGCCATTTTGCAAAGGCTCACGCAACCCACAGCTTTTCAGATTACCCTCTGGTTCTCCGCACCTGCAGCCAGCTCAGCCCTTCTTCCTGTCAGCCAGTGGCAAGCACACCTGTCCAGCAGACCACATACTACCCAGTGAGACAAGGACATTCCAGCTTCACACAGCAGGGTGAGCTGGGCGACCCTGATGGTTTGCTTTCCTGTAGGCATTTGATGTTGTCAACAATATGCTTCCCAGAAAAGTACAGAAAAACATGGTTTCTTAAGCCCAAAATCTTGCAGGCATAGAAAGTGCACACAGGAATTCTCTTTTATTTATGTAGCTTCTTGTAAGTCTGGAATTATTTTAAAACTAAAAGTTTAAAAAAAAATCTTAATTAGCATTAGGATTTTTAGCCAATAGTGGCCAAGAAGTTAAATGCAGCTCCAGCTGTCCTAGGTCTGGGGTCTGGGTTCCTACAATCCGTGCAATTCTGCTTTCTCTGCTTCCTGGCATATTAGCCGCTCCCATTGGGCACCTAAAATGGTATGTAAGTGCTGTGCTTGGAAGAAACAGAATTAAGAATCTAAGGAAGGTTGAAGAGATAACCACTACTTTTATTAGAGGTTATTCAGCTGAAGATAATTAAAAACACATGATCAGTGAGAACAAAGCTCATTCTCTGATTTCCTCAGAAACTCGGTATAATTGTCATGACAAAGTGGATGCTCAGAGGAGTTTCCTGGAAGAGTGAGGCCCTTAACTCCTTTCATAGATGATCCATGGGATAAAATAATTAGCAAAGGTGAAACGAAATGGCCTGCCACTACACTGAGGCACTTCTTCACTCACAGGTCTACAGCTAAACTGTCCCCAGAAAAATTAATTTCTTAAATGTTTAGACAGAAATTTACCAAGAGAAACCAATGTTAAGTTATACTAAATAATGAGATTTTAAAAATCAAGGTCATTGAAGTGTACTTCATCCTCCTAAAATCTGACATGACCTGACACATCTCATAACTCAGTTCTGAACACTCTTAAAGAACAAAATACGGCCACATTAACATAGCGAGATAGTGACGGTTCAATAAGAAATGGGGATTGGAATCAAGAGAGACAAAAATCAGCACCCACAGTGGATAGTTCAGGAAGATATTTTAGTTTGCATTATCTAAATGACCAGGGAATGATCAATATCTACTTTGTTTGCTCCATTACATATTGCTTCAAAAAAGTGTTTCCAGGGATCCTGAGAGGAATACTTACATTTATCCTAAAGCACTTGTTTAATGCAAAATTTAAATTAATTTCTTAATACTAATGTGCAGCAAGTAAACATTTCATACCACACCACCACTAACGCTACCACCTCAACGAACTTTTGGAGCAAGTTTGTCCAACCCGCAGCTCACAGGTCACATGCAGCCCAAGATGGCTTTGAATGTGGCCCAATGCAAATTCATCAACTTTCTTAACATATTAGGAGATTTTTTTGCAATTTTTTTTTAGCTCATCAGCTATCATTAGTGTTATCAGCAGTGCATTTTATGTTTGGTCTAAGACAACTCTTCTTCCAATGTGGCCCAGGGAAGCCAAAAGACAGGACACCCCTGATTTAGAATGAACTTTATGCCCTCCTGGTTCTGGCCTTCCTGGTGGAGCTGAAGATCTTACCTCTATAACATTCGTGGGACTGCGGATATAGATGCCAGATGGTGTCAACATTTCAGGATTGGAGAGTCCCTCAGCACCAGAAACCCGGATGATTATGTTGTTTCTTATTGTATTTCCATGTCCCGACCAGTCTAATGTTTAAACAAACCCAGAGGATCCAAAAACATTATTAAAATTCACACAACTCAACACTCTTGATTCTACTAATACACATCAGAGTTAACATAGCGTATTTCATATATATGTATATATATTTATAAAATACTTAGAACGCTCAATAAACTTAAGAGACCTAATAGTTTGCCACCAGGCTTGTCTATAAAATATATGACAATTTTAAATACACTGTAATAGATTTAAAATTAGTTTACATATTTACCATCTTTCCTTCCACCAATTGCCTCCCAAGAGATATGTCTCATCTCCATGCATGTCCCTGAGAACAAAAGACCCTGTTACTTGAGCATATTTTATGCCACTCTGGAAAACAAGAGATGCTGCAACATTACTTTTTCTTTGGGTGTGTGTTGTTTTGTTTTTGTGTTTTTATCTGTAAACCAGGGAAAGAGATACAGATCTTATGAGCTCTTCAGTTCTAGAGTATCAGCAATCAGAAGTTCATTTTAAATAGAAAGAACAGAAAAACAGATTTGTTTTACTTCTTAAGAGGTGTGTAAGTGGGACTGTCTCCACTGTTAAGTGTCGCATATCCTGTGTCAACGCCAACCCCATTCCTAGCTGTTCGAACTGGCCACCTGCTATCTGCATTCCCCCATCTTCCTTTGGAAGGTCTGAAATGTCCTGGAGGAACAGGATGGATAATGCCTAGGACCTTCACACCCAAACCACTGAGGTTGGAATAGAAGAGAAAGCATGGTCCACACTACATAGAGAAATCAGTCACTTAAGTGCTATCAATAAACAGCAGCCCCAAAGAACTCTTCACTACAAAGTCTTTAAGTAAAGAAGCTTTCTTGTGTCATTTCCTTGGTCTGGGATGGCACATTTGTTATGCGTGAGATTGAGTGCTTTACCTACAACACATTAATAAACAAAAATTTCAATTCCCTCACTTGTAATAGAATAGCTGTCAAAAGCTTATAATTCAAAACATTCAAGCACTAAAGGCTAAATTCCTCCTACAGATTTTCTTCCTTGTGTAGTTAATATCTATTCCACATAATTGTTTTCTGCTAAGGTAATACTGTTAGGATACCTCTCTCAATTTCTCCTTGATGTTTCACCTCTTCCCTCGCATGGACAAACAGAAAAAAACAAAGTCAATCCTACATCTGTTAGTTGACTTCCCTATGGCTATCCTTTTCTAATCAAAAGATTTTTCTGCACCTGATCACCTCAGTTGCCCTTAGTTTTTTATCTTTTAGAGCTACAGTGTGTTTTAAAGCAAATGTATCTGATTCATATTTTCTCACTAGACAGTTTCCATCTTACATACTTTTATAGAACTTTTATAGCTGTTATCTCAATAGATTGTTCTTAAATGAAACAGACATTTTTCCACTGATGACATTATAGAAGTAAATATCAAACAGTATTTAACAAATACAGTTACATTCCCACTTGCAATGAAAACCTCTGATTTACTTTTTTATTCTGATAAAACTAGAGACCTTTTGTTCCTTAATTCATTTCTTTCAACTAATAGGTCTACAATGCACTAGTTAATATGCTAAGTGTTCAGGAGACAATGTCCTCAAGAAATTTGGTGGTAAAAAGACATTAATCAGATGACCAGAAATGTGGTATATCATTTTAAATTAAGAAGTAAAGATTGATGCTTAAAGAGCTTAAACAGGAACTTGTCTGGAAGAGGGGATCTTGAAGGAGGAGAGTAAGTGGCATGAACAGAGCCAGAGAGCTTGTGCAAAGACACCAAGAAAGGAAAAAGTGTGCTCTTTGGAAGGAACTAAAATAAAACATTTTAGTGTCACTAGAGTACAGAGGAAGAGAAAAAGAACAAACTCTGTTGGTTTTTTACAGAGGTTAACAGAGACAAAAAATCACTGAAGGGATCTGTTAAGTCTGGTTAAGAGTTTCAAATTCTATTTTTAAAGCAGTAAGAAACTCAAAAGAGAGAAGTAATATGATGCAATTTGAGATTTTTAAGAATAATTTTTAGTTCTGCAAGGGGAATGAACGTTAGGAAACAGAAGTAGATACAAGTGATGAGTTGAAGATTCTGAAATATGGGTTTCTTCAGCAAGCAACAGGAGCTTGAATTCTATTAAGAAGAGAATTCCAGATTTTTAAATCCTTGACTGACATCCAAGTTTGACAATCTGTAAGACTATACAAAAACATATGTATGTGACTTAGAATTATTGTGAAAATTCCTGGTAGTAAGCTTTAAAACTTCCCATTTTATACTGATTAACCGGAATAAACCTTTAAAAGATCAGTATCCCATAGGTGAAGTTTAGTAAGCCAATCAGTGATGACTAAATTTAAACTTAGAATATTTTACTATAGCCCATTTCTTTATTTTTTTTTAACTTCTTTTGTTTTGTTTTGTTTTTTGTTTGTTGGTTTTTAAAAATTTATTATACTTTAAGTTCTGGGGTACATGTGCAGATTGCGCAAGTTTGTTACATAGGTACACACGTGCCATGGTGGTGGTTTGCTGCATCCATTGCCCCATCATCTCTGTTAGGTATTTCTTTTCTAACAATCATAAGGCTAATATTTTTATAAATTGGGAATTAGAAATTTCAGGAGAATTCATTGTGAAAAACTGTGTCCTATTTAAGAATGCAGAAATTAAACAAACTTGTTTTACTTACCAACCAGCAGTGCATGACCTAAAATATTGTAGAATACGTTACTGTCCACCTTCAGGCCCAAGGTCCTACACATGCTGAGGCCTCTACTGAAGGAGTTCCACACTGTGCAGCCCTGTATGAAAGACTCTAAATAGGAAAGAGTAAAGTAAAAATTAGAAATGGCTCCTGAGATTCTGTTGACCATATTTAAAGCAAGCTACACTACAGCTAAAGACATTCTCCCATATAATAATGAAACTCAGGAGATAGGAAGTTAGAAGCAGCAATCACATCAAGAAAATGGGTAACTCAAGCCAATGGCCCTCAACAATAAAAAGGGTAAAATTCAACAATCAAGGGTTAGAAAAAAACAAACAGACTGAGAAAGACAAAATATGTCTAAACAATAAAAGAACTCATAGCTGTCAAGATTTCCAACTGGCCATCATTTTGGTATCAGCTCTCATCAAAATATAGCAGATGAGAAGTTATGGATAATGTGAAGAGCACTGCTTATAGGCCAACCCTGATCTTTGAAAACTGAAGCTGTGAATTTATATTTATAATTTATCAGGCAATAATATTCTTGGCCCAAGATAGCCAGAGACTCTTATTCCTAACTGAAAGCAAGGCCAAAGTTTGGCCTGAGAATCATGACTCTCACATTTGAACTGCATAGGTTTATAAAACTAAAAAAGAAGCTATCCTCTACTATGCTAAAAAAAAAATTGACAGAAAAAAATCATTATATGGGCTCCATAGGTATATTCTATGATCCCCAAATCTGGTTATGAGGCCTAGATGAGTCAATGAATATATATTACTGAGTATCAACTATATGTTTCAGGAATAGTGCATTGCACTGTGCTGGAAACATGAAGATGAACAAAACTAAGTAAGCTCTGCATTTGTATATTTGCATTCTGATGGAGGAAATTGATATTAAAATAGTAAAAATTCAACTTCCGTCAAGATGGCTGAATAGGAACAGCTCCAGTCTGTAGGTCCCAGTGAGAGTGCACCAGAAGACCAGTGATCTCCACATTTCCAACTGAGGTATCAGGTTCATCTCATTGGCACTAGTTAGACAGTGGAAATAGTCCCCAAGCCAAAGCAGGATGGGGCACTGCCTCACCCAAGAGGCACAAGGGGCCAGAGAACTCACTCTCCAAGCCAAAGGAAGCCATTAGGGACTTTTCCAGCACTCTGGCTCAGATACTGTGCTTTTTGAACGGTCTATATGACCCACAGACAAGGAGACTACCTCTGGTGCCTACAATGCCAAGCTAAAATCCACTGGCTTGAAACTCTCGCAGCCAGCACAGCAGCCTGAGCTCCACCTGGGATGTTCAAGCTTAGTGGGGGGATGGATGCCTGCCATTGCTGAGGCTTCATTAGGTGGTTTCAACAATGCCTGCATAAACAAAGCCCCTGAAAGTTTACACAGCAGCTGGGCAGAGCCCAGCACAGCAGCTCAGAGAGACCTCTGCAGGCAGACTGTCAAGTAGATTCTCTTCTTGCTGGGCAGGTCATCTCAGAAAAAAAAAGACAGCAGCCTGTCAGGGACTTACAAAGCCCCCACCTTCCTAAAACAGAGCTCCTGGGAAAAGGGGCAGTTGTGGGTTCTGCTTCAGCAGGCTTAAACACACCTGCCCAGCAGCCCTGAAGGAAGCAATGGACCCCCCAGCACAGTGCTTGAGCTCCATTAAGGGACAGGCTGCCTCCTCCAGTGGCTCCCTGATCCTCCATGTATCCTAACTGGGAGACACGTCATACAGGAGAGGTCTGGCTGACATCTGGCAGATACTGTTTTGGGATGAAGCTACCAAAGGAAGGAACAGGCAGCAATCTTTGCTGTTCTGCAGCCCCTGTAGGTTATTCTCAGGCAAGCATAGTCTGGAGTGTACCTCCAGCAAACTCCAGTAAACCTGCAGCAGAGGGGCCTGACTGTTAGAAGAAAAACTAACAAACAGAAAGAAACAACTTCAACATCAACAAAAAGGATATCCACTCCGAAACGCAACCCAAACTCACCAACTTCAAAGACCAAAGGTAGATAAATCCATGAAGGTGGGAAGGAACCAGTGCAAAAAGGCTAAAATTGCCAAAAGTGAAAATGCCTCTTCTCCAATGGATTACAACCCCTCACCAGCAAGGGAACAAAACTTGATGGAGAATGAGTGTGACGAATTGACAGAAGCAGGCTTCACAAGGTGGGTAATAACAAACTTCTGCAAGCTAAAGGAGCATGTTCTAACCCATTCAAGGAAAGTAAGAACATTGAAAATAGGTTAGATGAAATGCTAACAAGAATAATCAGAATGGAGAAGAACATAAACGACATGATGGAGTTGAAAAACACAGCCTGAGAACTTCGTGATGCATTTACAAGTTTCAATAGCCAATTCGATCAAGCAGAAGAAAGGATATCAGAGACTAAAGATCAACTCAATGAAATAAAATGAGAAGGCAAGAAAAAAAGAGTGAAAAGAAGTGAACAAGCCCCCAAGACATACAGGATTATGTGAAAAGAACCAATCTATGTTTGATTGGTGTGCCTGAAAGCGATGGGGAGAACAAAACCAAATTGGAGAACACTCTTCAGGATATTATCCAGGAGACCTTCCCCAATCTAGCAAGGCAGGCCAACATTCAAATACAGGAAATACAGAGAACACCACAAAGGTATTCCTCAAGAAGAGCAACCCCAAGGCACATAATCATCTGATTCACCGGGGTTGAAATGAAGGAAAAAATGCTAAGGGCAGACAGAGAGAAAAGCCAAGTTACCCACAAAGGGAAGCCCAGCACACTCACAGCAATCTCTTGACAGAAACCCTACAAGCCAGAAGAGAGTGGAGGCCAATATTCAACATCCTAAAAAATAATAATAATTTTCAACCCAAAATTTCATAGCCAGCCAAACTAGGCTTCATAAGCGAAGGAGAAATAAAGTCCTTTACAGACAAGCAACTGCTGAGAGATTTCATCATTACTAGGCCTGCCTTACAAGAGCTCCTGAAGGAAGCACTAAACATGGAAAGGAACAACCAGTACGAGCCACTTCAAAAACATACCAAACTGTAAAGACCATAACACTATGATGAAACTGCATCAACTAACAGGCAAAACAAACAGCTAGAATCAAAATGGCAGGATCAGATTCACTCATAACAACATTAACCTTAAATGCAAATGGGCTAAATGCCGCAATCAAAAGGCACAGACTGGCAAATTGGATTAAAAGTCAACACCCATTCAGGAGACCCATCTCACATGCAAGGATACACATAGGTTCAAAATAAAGGGATAGAGGAAGATTTCCCAAGCAGATGGAGAGTAAAAACAAGCAGGGGTTGCAATCCTAGTCTCAGATAAAACAGACTTTAAACTAACAAAGATCAAAAGAGACAAAAGAAGGCATTTCATAATGGTAAAGGGATTAATGCAACAAGAAAACCTAACTATCCTAAATATATATGCATCCAATACAGGAGCACTCAGACACATAAAGCAAGTTCGTAATGACCTACAAAGAGACTTAGGCTCCCACGCAATAATAGTGGGAGACTTTAACATCCCACTATCAATACTAGACAGATCAACCAGACAGAAAATTAACAAGGGTATCCAGGACTTGAACTCAGATCTGGACCAAGCGGACCTAATAGACATCTACAGAACTCTCCACCCCAAAACCACAGAATATACATTCTTCTCAGCACCGTATCACACTTATTCTAAAATTGACTACATAATTGGAAGTAAAACACTCCTCAGTAAATGCAAAGAAGGGAAACCACAACAAACAGTCTCTCCGACCACAGTGCAATCAAATTAGAACTCAGGATTAAGAAGCTCACTCAAGACCACACAATTACATGGAAACTAAGCACCTGCTCCTGAATGACAAATGGACAAATAATGAAATGAAGGCAGAAATAAAGATGCTCTTCAAAAGCAATGAGAATGAAGACACAACATACCAGAATCGCTGGGACACACTTAAAGCAGTGTCTAGAGGAAAATTTATAGCACTAAATGCCCACATGAGAAGTGAGGAAAGATATAAAATTGACATTCTAACATCATGATTAAAAAAACGAGAGGAGCTCAAACAAACTCAAATGCTAGCAAAAGGCAAGAAATAACTAAGATCAAAGAAGAACTGAAGGAGAGAGAGACACAAAAAACCCTTCAAAAAATCAATAAATCCAAGAGATGGGTTTTTTGAAAAGATCAACAAAATAGATAGAATGCTAGCCAGACTAATAAAAAAGAAAAGAGAGAAGATTCAAATAGATGCAATAAAAAATTATAAAGGGGATATCACCACCAATCATACAAAAATACAAACTACCATCAGAGATTACTACAAATACCTCTAAGCAAATAAACTAGTAAATCTAGAAGAAATTGATAAATTCCTGAACACTTACACCCTCCCAATACTAAACCAGGAAGAAGTTGAATTCCTGAATAGACCAATAACAAGGGCTGAAGTTGAGACAACAATTGATAGCCTACCAATCAAAAAAAGTCCAGGACCAGACAGGTTCACAGCCAAATTCTACCAGAGGTACAAAAAGGAGCTGGTACCATTCCTTCTGAAACTATTCCAAACAATACAAAAAGAGGGACTCCTCCCTAACTCATTTTATGAGACCACCATCATTCTGATACCAAAACCTGGCAGAGACACAACTAAAAAAGAAAATTTAATGCCAATATCCATAATGAACACTGATGCAAAAATCTTGACAGACCAAATCCAACAGCTATTCATCACAATCAAGTTGGCTTCTTCCCAGGGATGCAAGGCTGGTTCAACATCCACAAATCTATAAATGTAATTTATCACATAAACAGAACCAAAGACAAAAGCCATATGATTATCTCAATAGATGCAGAGAAAGCCTCGACAAAATTCAACAGCCCTTTATGCTAAAAACTCTCAATAAACTAGTTATCGATTGATTGTATCTCAAAATAAAATAAGACCTATTTATGAGAAACCCACAGCCAATATATCATACTCAATGGGCAAAAGCTGAAAGCATTCCCTTTGAATTCTGGCACCAGACAAGGATGCCCTCTCTCACCACTCCTATTCAACAGAGTATTGGAAGTTCTGGCTAGGGCCATTAGGCAACAGAAAGAAATAAAGGATATTCAAATAGGAAGAGAGGACATCAAACTGTCCCTGTTTGCAGATGACATGATTGTATATTTAGAAAACCCCATCATCTCAGCCCCAAATCTCCTTAAACTGATAAGCAACTTCAGCAAAGTCTCAGGATACAAAATCAATGGCAAAAATTGCAAGCATTTCTATACACCAATAATAGACAGAGAGCCAAATCATGAGTGAACTCCCATTCACAATTGCTACCAAGAGAATAAAAAACCTAGGTATACAATTAACAAGGGATATGAAGGGCCTCTTCAAGGAGAACTACAAACCATTGCTCAAGGAAATGAAAGAGAACACAAATATATGGAAAAACATTCCACATTCATGGTTAGGAAAAATCAATATCGTGAAAATGGCCATACTGCCCAAAGTAATTTATACATTCAATGCTATCCCCATCAAGTTACCAATGACTTCTTCACAGAATTGGAAAAAACCATCTTAAATTTCATGTGGAACCAAAAAAGAGCCTGCATAGCCAAGACAATACTAAGCAAAAAACAACAACAACAACAGAAAAAGAAAAAAAAAAATGCTGGAGGTATCATGCTACCTGATGATTATATTCAAACTATATTACAAGGCTATCATACTCTAAACAGCATGGTACTGGTGCCAAAACAGAGATATAGATCAGTGGAACAGAACAGAGGCCTCAGAAAGAATGCCTCACAACTACAACCATCTGATCTTTGACAAACCTGACAAAAACAAGCAATAGGGAAAGGATTACCTGTTTAAATGGTGTTGGGAAAACTGACTAGTCATATGCAGAAAGCTGAAACTGGATCCCTTCCTTACACCTTACACAAAAATTAACTCTAGACAGATTAAAGATTTAAACATGAGGCCTAACGTCATAAAAACCCTAGAATAAACCCTAGGTAATACCATTCATGACATAGGCATGGGCAAGAACTTCAAATTCCATTTGACCCAAAAAAAAAGAAGGCATTGGGATCTTTGAACAGTATTTTTTAAAAATTTTTAATTTAAAGTTCCTAGGATATATGTGCAGGATGTGCAGGTTTATTACATAGGTAAATGTTGCACAATACATTTTAAAGTTTCACCAATCCCAGTATTCCACTCATAAGGGCTACACAAAAAGCAGCTTCCACACTGAGTAATTGTAATTGGCCACATAGGACATGAGGGTGTTAGATGATAAAAGAGTCCTTGAAGAGCATTCCAAAAGTTTCTAGCCTCTGCATTTTAACAGGGCTTTATAGGCAATAATGTATTAACGCAGTAATCTTCAAACTTTTCTTTTTTAAGTACTGAGCTCTTTTCCAAATAAAACCTAAAATATAACATATCTATAAAATAGATAAATGTGCAGCTACTCTGATTAGAACACAGGTGGGAGAGGAAGGTTAGGTAAAATTTGATCAAGGAAGGGCTTGGATTACGTTCAATTGATAACTTATTTGTGACTGCTACCCTCTTTTTTACTGGACTGACCCATGTCAAATATTCTGCAGTACTATAAACAGCTGAGCAAAGAACCAGAGAGAAGGGAATAAAGATACTAATCGATCCAAAGCACTAGGGGAGAGGCAATATGAGGAGCCATTCCCCAAAATGACTCAAATAAATAAAAAAGAGATTGGAAGTATTAGAATAAGTAGACTTCCTTAGCATGCAGATAATTTGAAATGATGGAAAATGTTGCTTTTGGCTAGTCAGAATCCTGCCCTCAATGACCTCAAGGATTACTCTGCCATTACCTGTTAGAATCCTAGTGTCTCTCAAGGGTCACCTGAACCACAAAGTATGCCCTGATGTCCTTTGTCAGGCATCAACCTCTGAACCTCCAGGGCACTGCCTCTTTTAAGAAGACAAAGCTTGAATGCCTGGGTGTTGAAAGTGCTGGTGAACAGGGAGGATCACTCAGAAATGGAGCTGCTGTCCTCACTACCTGGCATCTGCACCCTCACTCTGTGATTCTCTGCATATCGGCTTTTGGTAATGAGTTTTGCCCTGGATGTTCCTACATTCAACTTTGATTTTAGAACATTTATCAGTGCATCGGGTCATATTCTCTTTTTTTGATTCTGATTTTGATGTTTCCTATTCCCTTCTTATGTCTTCATTTCTGGCCAAGGTCTGCACATATATCTGCCCCTCATTCCCAGGAAAATCACCTGGGTTCCAGCCATTCCTCCTCATTTCCCCAGGCAAAAGATTCCTCTGAGTTAGGACAACTTTACATAAAAGTACCTGGACTTCCACAGTGTTGATAATTTAATGCCACTTCCCCTGTAGTTACAAAGCTAGTAAATGGTAGAGAGAGAATTCAAAACACAAATTGTGCTGTACTTAGCGTGATAGTTCTCAAAGTATACTCCTTGGACTGCCTGTTTCAGAATCATAAGGTTTGCTTATTTAAAATACACTTTCCTGACTGGGCGCAGTGGCTCATGCCTGTAATCCCACCACTTTGGAAGACCAAGGCAGTCAGATCATGAGGTCAGGAGTTTGAGACCTCCTGGCCAACACGGTGAAACCCTATCTCTACTAAAAATACAAAAAAGAAAAAAATTAGCCAGGCACAATGGTTCACACCTGTAATCCCAGCAAGTCAGGAAGCTGAGGAAAAAGAAGCGCTTGAATCTGAGAGGCAGAGGTTGCAGTGAGCCAGGATCATGCTACTGCACTTTAGCCTGGATGACAATGTGAGACTCCGTCTCAAAAAATAAAATAAAATACACATTCCTAAACCTAACTTAGACCAGAATTTGTTGAGCTAAGGTTTATAACTCTGAATTTCAATAAGCTCCACAAGTGATTTGTTTGGGCATACTAAAGTTTGGGAACCAGAGACCTAGAATATAATAATTATCCATCTCTAAATTCCTCAAATCCCACATATCATCTATCATTGCCCCCTGCAGGTAGTGCCTTAAACATGGAAGAAAGAAACAGGAGAAGGGCCTAGGTCTGGACCCCCTTACCTCTCATGGTGCCCACCAGAATCAGTGAGCTCAGATGCTTATGGAAGGCTTGCCCCAAGACTCTTAACTGCACTCCCTTCAACTGGACCCGACTGGGCTCTTCTGGGAAGGACTGAACAATGACTCTGGCTCCCATATACCTGGATCCCAGAGTCTTCTCACTCATGGAGTACAAACAGTGCTGCAAATGACCTGAAACACAAAATAAAGTCCAGAGAACCTAAAGGATGTAGAACATGCTTCTAGACAAATCTCCTAGTTTAACAGGTACTGTTTGCACCAAGGAAAAACCATTATTGTTTATTTCATTTAATAATCTTATTTCCTCTTTTCTTTGATTCTCCTCTATAGATTATTAATTAAAAGATCCAATAACCAGGACATGATGTTGCTTCACCCTATTTTTTCTAGAAACTCCCAAATCAATCACCTTAATTACTGTCACAGAGTCAGACTATACCCCACAGACCCAACCTAAATAGATGCTTATTTCAATCCAAAAGATCCTCTGGAGGAAATGTGCAATAAAATGACCTTCTTGTGGTTGATAACTGTAGGAAAGACATGTGATCACTGAATGTAATCACAGCACTTTTTAATCTTAAGCTGTCCAATGAGGTTTCCCCATTACTGTGCTGTTTTATGGTTTGGGGACTTAGCAATAACACTACTACAGAAATGTCAAGGGACTTCCAATAAACAACTGAACAGCTCCTGCACCAACACCTACTTCTCCAGCTGTGCCGCTAGTGAGAACAGCAGCAACCTGAACCTAACACACACAACAACAAATGCTAGTGAGGACAGCGACCACCTGAACTAACACACACAACTATGAATGCTAGGGAAGACAGCAAGCTACCTAGACCTAACACACACAACTACTATTGCTACCAAAATGTTGTGACCTCAGGATCCACGGCACCTTCTGTTGATACATGTCATTTGGTGGTGTAAACTGATCTGGAGAAGAAATCATCTCTCCAACTGAACAATCAAGATTATTCATGTTAATGATCCAAAGAAGCACCAATAATATAAAACACTGCATCATACCACGGTAAATTTCACAATCCAGTCATTTGCTAACACCCAGAGAAGAAGTGAATGAAGAGATATTTATATTTGTATGCCTTATCACAATTTGATTATTTGTGCCAGCAATCCGTAACATTTCCAAGTGGCCAGACCTGGTATTATTAAATTCAGCCACCTTGTTCCACACTCCAGTCCCACACAGAAAAGGAATGGCTTATTTTGAGACTACTGTAGTTACATTTACAATTTGTAATTAAATCAAAGATGTTGTTCATTTGGAGCTAAAGTATATATAATGGCTTAAACCTAAAAGCATGGTCTCACTGGCAACATGATCAAATGCAATGGTTGTCAAAATATGATCTCAGAATACCAAAAAAGTTTAAATAGAATTTAGATCCCAATTCTGCAGAATGGATAAAGTTGGCAGTTGATGGAAGTGAACCCACTGTTACCTAAACATTCTTTTCAGAATGACACATTTGTGAGTAGATGAGTTGTAGGGAGCGAGGTGAGGGCAAAGTCCCTCTCTACTTCTAACAGCTCCCCACACTCAACCACATGGTTACATTATACTCCCATCCACCTATATTTAGACACAACTTAAATCTTTAACTCCAGCCTTGACCTTTCTTCCAGGCTCCACACATTACCAGACATCTCTACACAGTTGCTGGCCTGGCATCTCAGTTACGATGTGTACAAAATTAAACTCACAATCGCCGCTCTCCCACCCCAAAACTGCTTCTCTTCCCATCCCAGTAAATAGCCTCATCATCCATCCAGAGCTCATGCCTGGAAGTCATCCTTGACACCCACACCATCCTGGACCAAATTTGACAAATGAAGTCTTCACAACATGTGAAAGCCTCATAATCTACAGCCTGGGAAACCAAAACATAACCTACTAAACTAACCATCCCTGAAATAGATGTTTAATAGGCACATCAGTGTGATTCAGTGCCTGCTATTCTCCTAGAAGATAAATTGACTTTTTCCACCACTTACCTAAAGTGTGTGGTAGTTCACTCAGAAAACAAACCCTGAAAAGGGGATGGGGGAGTCCTACAAGTCTAATAGTAAGAATGTGCTGCCTGAGCCTGTAACTCTGGCATTATGGTTTTCCTGAGAATCTCAGAAGTGAATTGGAATTATAACATCAAATCGAGAAATGTAATTCAAGTCTTCAGATTTAGTTCTTTAATAGAAATATTTTCCCCAGATAAATAATGCATTATTTCTTTTGTCTTGTGTCTATCTTTTTCACAAGGTTGTTGGGCGGTGGGGCAGGGGGGAGGATGAAATGACAATTAATCAAGAGCATTCTGAAAACTACAGAAAATTATGGGCATCCAAAGGTTAAGGGCTTATTCTACTTTAAAAGAGGTCAACCATAGCAAGGCCATCTATCATCAGACAGTAAGAATACTCCTTTTTGCTCACTGGACTTTCCAACAAAATACTCTTCTACCTTCTGGAGCATTGGCCTCCTGGCATGAAACAAGCAGCTTCTCCCTCTCATTAGTGAGATTTCCTTGTATGGTAATACTCCTGCTGAGCAGAGCCACAGTGGCCTTTAAAATATGGTGCTCTCCAGCCACCCAATTCTCTGTCAAGTTGTAAGAATACCTGGGGGAAAAAAGAGGATGACAGAACTGAGGACATCACTCCAAATGTTACTAGGAATAATAAACCACGAGATTAACCTAATTCTTCCTTTGGGGATCTATTCATGTTTCTTTAGAAACTCAAATGCCAAATAGTGAACTATAGACACAAGTGCATGAAAATTAGAAACTATGCTGATCATTTGTGTAAGGCAGAAGAAGTTCTAGAGACTCACAAGACAAACTAACTTACAAAGTCTAAATCTTTAAAACATTTCAAGCTTTTTAATTTTCTTGTCAAAATGTCTAACATTGTTTAATGCAGAAGAAATATATCATTGAAAGACCCCAATACAAATGTTTTCGGGTCTTTCAAATAGACCTCAACACAGTTAAGATCTCATCTTCTTCCATGTCAACTTAGCCAAGCTGGCACTCAGTACCTCAAAGGTGACTTAAGATAGAGGTCTGTATCCTGCACAGTTTCTACAATGACAATCTCTTCCACTGGTCTGGCACCTTCAACACTGGTTCCACTGATGATGACAGCTTCATCTCCAGGGTGCCAGTCCACAGCATCTTCTAAAGCCAACACTGTGTCTCGGGCATGAGCAGCTACTCGAAGATGGGTGACAATTACTTTTGGTAGTGAACCTAAAGCAGCCAAGGAAAAGTTGTTCAGATAATTTAATCATTAATTTTAAAACCCTGTGATGTTATTTAGCCAAAGAATCCCATAAAATAAGACCTGTAAAAGCAAGCTTCAGGATAGATAAGTACCAATTTGTTTTATGTTAGTTTTATTTTGTTTGATACTAGTTTTTTTTTACCTGTAACAAGAGGTCAATAAAAGTAATCCAGAATAGAGAATAGCAAGGTGTAAAAAGCACAAGAATTGTGGTCAGATTAAACCTACATTTGAATCACGGTCTTGTCATATTCTAACCCTGTTCCTTTGGGTAATAAACTTGATGAGTGGGCTTCAGTTTCCTCAGTCAAAAACAGAAGTAGCAGGGTGTTCTATTATAGGGTTTTAGAAAGATTCAATGAAACAATATCTATGAAACATCTAGCTTGGATCTTACCACATAATAGACCCTAAGTGTATGTTAGTCCTTTCTCTTCCTTTTCTGTGTCACACTGTGTTTGAGGATAAAATTTTACTACCTCTTTTTTATTCCAAATCAAAACAAGTGGCTATTAGACTTCCTGATGTAGACCTCCATAACTAATTTCCAATATGAAGACTTCACAAATAACATAAATAAATGGGAAAATCAAAATTATCTCTTAATAGTTGTCATAAGTCTTGGTGTATTAAATGATCCCTTCAAACTCTAAAAACTAGATCTGTCTTACATGGGTCTACTAAGTGAAGTTGAAGGAGAACTTGTGATTCTGATTATCTTTGTTTGTATTAAACTCCAGCATGCCCACCTGACCATCCCTATACTAGCATACTAATGTTTACTCATCAAAGATTCAAGAAGGTCATCTGTCTCTCAGTTTATTCTAGTCTTTTCCAGCAAGGGTCAAGACACAGATTTTTTTCAAGGCATTATCGGAATACTTCAGAAAACACATGGCTTACTCCCAACTCCTTTCTCTCTCCATAGTACATTTCCTTCCTCTTTTGCCATAGATCATAATTTACCTTAGCCCACAGCAAGTTACTGTCCTCCCTTGTTGTACTGAAGTAAAGTAATAATACTTGAATCTCTAACTACAGAGGTGGCTGACAATAAATCATTTTCAAATTATTTTAAACTTCCCTCTTTATTTATGTGTCTCTCTGTGTGTAGGCACTTGTACCAATAATGTTGTTCTAGGCTTACAAAGGTCTCTGGGTTAATGTTGTAATTTCTGAAGTTTACTTGGGCAATAATTTTATCTTAAAAAAATGTACAGTTCAAAATTTCTAATTATAGGGCAGGTGAAAATTAAGACATAAATCATCCCAAAATGAAATTTTAATTTTATTCCTTGTTTGTATATCTTAACCTTTGGAAGCAATAAAATTAAATAAAATTTATTTATATGTATATGCATATCTTTGTGAATTTTTATAATCCGTTCTTGTATGTCTACATAGAAAAATCTCTACCAAGCATAGAAAAATGTTTATTAAAGACAAATGCTGTCAGACCCTGTGATCGATGTTCACAATTGTCAGTCAACATGCAACAAACACCTGCTATGTGCCTATCAACATTGCAAGTTACAGATGGCAGAACCAAGAGTAGAGATGACAAAGGTCTATCTCATCTAATTACTCCTATAAATAATGGTCAAGTCTGAAAGGATGAAAAATCACAGGAATCTTTGAAGTATATTTTTTAACTATTAGCAAACAGTTACAGCCTTTTAAATATTGAAAGGGCCTCTAGAAAACAGTAAAACTATCTTATGACTTAATTCTCTCTCACTGCAAAAATAACATCTCTATGTACGTGGTTAAAACATCAAGCCTGGATGTTTAATGAGTGTTAACCTCATATTTCTAGCTACATAGTAGATATTGACATTTGGATGAGCTACTATCATCTTATAATTATCTGAGCTAGACCCTCTGCAAACAGCTTTATTCTTTTAAGCATTCCTCTTTTTCTTTTTTAAAAATAATTTTTTGCTAAGTTATTTTAATTACATCTCTTCTTTGTCCATTAACCTGCAGTATTTTTCCACAACAGTAACAAAGTCTCAAATTTCCTGCTCAACTTTAAAGATTCTCCATAATGTGACGCCACTTTATGGTCTCTGATTTCTTAATAAATTCTGTTACAGGACGCCCAGTCTTTTTACCACTTCTCATTTAATAGAGTCATCCTGCCTCTAATCCTTTGTCAATTTTGTCCTTTCCACCCGTTTCCTTGCTTCTTTCTCCTCATCCTTTTAAAGCACGATTCAAGCCCCATCTTTTCAGTGAATTTCAGAAAACACTTGATCTTCACTTCCTCCTACAACCTTGTAGTGATCAATGAGATCCTTCCTTCAGCAAAATCTGTATGTACCTCTGGAATTTAGATATGCCCAAGCATGGCTGGGTAGTTTTGGGGCCATTTATTTGAGCTGCTTTGTGTGGGGGAAGAAGTTCGCACAAAGAAACAGGTGGGAGAAAAGAAGATGACAGAGAAGATATGGGGTAAATCTCAGATATAGGCCCTCTCTCCTGACCACAAGGACCCATGACTGAACGCGAGGGAAGGATTTGGAGGACATTTCCAGATGGCTTTGTTACCTGATGCTGCACCCCTTGAGATTCCCTCACCCACTCACTCTACTGCATTCTTTGGAGTTTAATCTTGAAAGAAGCCTCCAAGACTTGCTGAGTAGGTAAACCCTGTACCATAATCTGTCCTATCACCATGGCTGTCTTTTTTCTCACACTTAACACAACTGCAATTTGGCCTCTATTTTTGTACTTAGAATTTGTCTCCCCCACTAAACACAACAGCAGAAACCATACCTATGTTTGTTCACCACCACAGCATCAATGCCTTTTACATTGTCTAGCATATAATAAATGTTCTATAAATACATGCTGAATGCATACAATCACAAATGAAATGGAGAAACAAGCACCCCGACACCTTGGTGTCCAGTTGGTCAGGTGGGACTCTGAGCAGCATAGAGAGAGTTGCCACATTTCATCATGGGACACAGCACACTCCCACACCCTGGGGTTTTAAATGAAAGCCTGGGAGGATCCAAGATGGCCGTTTAGGAACAGCTCAGGATTGCTGCTCCCAGTGAAAGCGCAGAGGGTGAGTGGATGCCGCATTTTTATTGCCCACAGACTAGGAAATTCCCAGGAAGAGGAGCTCCACGGTGGCCAGCGCAGCTGTTTCAGCCAGCACGGCTGTGCCGGCCAGCGCCGCTGCTTTGCCCCGCG